TGGAAGCAGCCGAACAGGAAAAGCCCTACGAACAGCTTACACTCCTGGCAATCGGCATACAGTCAAATTCCCCCCAAGAATGAGACAACACTTCACTTTGAGGGTTAAACAGGAACAAAACTGCTGGCACACCCAGCCTGGTTTTTATTACAGTCTTGCACATACAGGACCGCCCACAGGGAGGTTTAAAATAACCAATCAAATAACAGTTACAACCCACAATGCATCACAATCCCTCCTCCCTGGCCTGGAGATAATTGGAGAATTAATCCAATTATCTCCAAGGACAGAGGCAAACTCCATTACACACATGGCAGACAAAAGACAGTAAAATACAATAAAATACACAAGGTTACATTTATACATAAAATACAAACATTCTACTTATCCCCAGATAGCTTAGATCTGAGCGCACGTTATTACCGGATGGCGCTCAGATCACATACATACAGTTCAATCGCCATGGAGCCAAAGTCTTTCATACAGTCTTTCAGTATACGGCTGGGCTCCATGGCATAGCTATCTGGGGTAGCATGGCTTTAACAGTCCGCAGAAAGGCACAAACCAGGGAAAAAGAACAGGGGCCATAGTCTAAAGGTAAGAGGCGGGCAAGCAGCCCCCTCAAAGGACACGTGGCAAGGTCGGTTTCGCCACACGCCTGTTCTAAAGAAGGATATCATGGCACTGGAGAGGGTCCAGAGATGAGCTACAAAATTGATAAAAGGAATGGAGCATTTTAGTTATGAAGAAAGGTTAAAAAAATTACATCTGTTTAGTTTGGAAAAACGGTGCCTGAGAGGGGATATGATAACTTTATACAAATATATTCGGGGCAAGTACAAACCTTTATCTGGAAATCTATTCATAAACAGGGCTATAGATAGGACACGAGGTCACACATTTAGGCTGGAAGAAAGGAGATTTCAAAAAGGTTTTTTTACAGTAAGAACAATAAGGATATGGAATTCTCTGCCTGAAGAGGTGGTTTTGTTAGAGTCCATACAGATGTTTAAACTGAAATTGGATAAATACTTATCAAAAACATAACATACAGGGATATAATTTCTAATTAGTGGGGTAATAGCTGCTTGATCCAAGGAGACATCTGGCTGCTATTTTGGGGTCAAGAAGGAATTTTTTCCTAGTTTGTGGCAAAATTGGAAGCGCTTCAGACTGTTTTTTTTGCCTTCTTTTGGATCAACAGCAACAACATTTGTGAGGAAGGCTGAACTTGATGGACGCAAGTCTCTTTTCAGCTATGTAACTATGTAACTAAGCTATCTGGGGATATGTTAAATGTGTACAGTGCATTCGGTAATTTGCAAGTTATATATTTTTATGTATTTTTATTGTCATACCTAAAATGGAGTTTTGCCTCTGTCCTTGGAGATAATTGGATTACTTCCCAATTATCTCCAGTATTGAGAGGAGGGTTTTGTACAGTAAAAGGGGAGTGTTTATAGCCAAAGTGTTTCCATTGGCTACTGCATTATATTTGTCCCAGTTTTCCACCAGGTCCCCTAGCCCCGATTAAACAGATCACTGCTTGACCCTCAACACGGAACTTTGTCTCATTCTGGGGGGGATTTATATTTGCATGATTTTCTGTTCGGCTATTTGGTTCGTGGATTATTTCGTATGTTTCCTGTTTGGCTAATTGGAGCTTTCGTTAGCTGCTTCTCCATTCGGAAGGTGAACGTCCTTAGCGGTGCTAACCCCTCTTATTTTTTTATTTTTTTCATTCTTTATTTTATTCGTGCATAGGCTAGGTATACAAGATTGCACTGCCACAACAGCTGGTGCATGAATAACATCAAGTAGAATATAACAATTGTGTGTCTTGAGGAACAGTGCACATTTTATAATGTGAAGGGAAAGGCATGGTTACAAGAAAAGCCTATATGTCTCAGAAGTTAGTAGCATTAGACTTGGCGTGTCCTAAAACCCTTAAGGTTAACATGCTTAGGGAATATATTTAGGTCGTGCTTATTATGTAGAGTGTCATCGCATTAATATCTAGGCTTATAATAAGATAACCGCACGCTTCCCACGTATAACCAGCTCCTGGTCGATCCATATGTTAGCATAGGATTGTAGGTAAACATTGAAACATTCAGGCAATTTGCACATATATCGCTTTTCAGATGGGAAGCATGTTAGGTAGGTGTATTCTTGATATTAGGCCACAACATGTGTAGCGGCTGATCAAGGTTACTCCTTGTATAGGTAACTAGGGCAGAAAACAATATCATGTTATTATGCCACAGGGTAGGAATCAAAATATAAAAAACAAATACCACTGGGTAGGACAGTGTGCAAAAAGAAAGTAAGGACAGCTTGTGTCACCAAAGCTGTAACATTTAGGTATATAAACATCTAGTTCAGCTCGTATAACACTTCTGGGGCCCAACTATGGGAGAATCCGCTACACTGGTAAAAACAAAACCTCTGCACACTGCAAAAATATATGGCTAATAACAGTGAGGCCACTAAGCGCCTCTGACAAATCAGTGAGTTCCCCATGAGGGTGATAAGGCTAGGGCAGGAGGAAGTTTGTTTAATGCAGTTTTATGCTGCTTGCATCTACACTTCTCCTCTCTCCTTTAAGGACCACTATAGTGCCAGGAAAACATACTCGTTTTCCTGGCACTATAGTGCCCTGAGGGTGCCCCCACCCTCAGGGACCCCCTCCCGCCCGGCTCTGGAAGGGGGAAAGGGGTTTAAACTTACCTTTTTCCAGTGCTGGGCGGAGATCTCTCCTCCTCCGATCCTCCTCTTCTCCTCCCCATCAGCTGAATGCGTACGCGCGGCAAGAGCTGCGCGCGCATTCAGCCGGTCACATAGGAAAGCATTCATAATGCTTTCCTATGGACGCTGGCGTGCTCTCACTGTGATAATCACAGTGAGAACCACGCAAGCGCCTCTAGTGGCTGTCAATGAGACAGCCACTAGAGGAAATAGGGGAAGGCTTAACCCATTTTTTCATAAACCTAGCAGTTTCTCTGAAACTGCTAGTTTTATGAAAAAATGGGTTATCCCTAGCTGGACCTGGCACCCAGACCACTTCATTAAGCTGAAGTGGTCTGGGTGCCTAGAGTGGTCCTTTAAGGGGTTGTCTACAGCTAATTCTGCAAGTATGTAGATCACCTTAATTAAATATTTTAAATAATGTGTTTTATGTATCTTTCTCACAGAAGATTATCAGGGGCTGATAAATGGGATCTACAGGTAGGAAAACTTTGCATTGTGTTTTACCACGCTAACACTAATAGTATCATAAGAAAGAAAACAGTAAAGGAACGTAACCAAAAACTCAATTCACTTTGGTCGCATAGTGACCCCTGTCTTGTAATAGATGTTCAGCTATATTGCCCTCTTTGAGTGTGGGGGTAGCCGTTCAGGGGTTACGAGTCCCATAGAGTCCCACCATGTTTACCCTTCAGCCTATGCCCTGTATGTTCATCTCTCTGGGCCATGGCATGCTGGTCAGGCATTTCCGCCACGGTGCAAGTCAGTCAGTCACTGGGCGGAAGAGGTGAATTGGTAGTCCGTTTAGGCCTGTGGGTTGTTGCACCTGATTATTCCAGACAGGTAATTCCATAGTGGCTAATTCGGCCCATCTGTTTATTCCATGAGCAGGCCTTCCTTTGCGTCCTAGGTGCTGGATGGAGGTTGCCGTCCGCTTTTGGTGCCGGCCTCCTGATGCTGCTGTGTGTGGGCCCTGCCGGTTTCGCCGGGCGGGGATCCTCCAAGTGTGTCTCTTTGGTTTCCGCTGTGCAAGGCTGTGTATGGGGACCCTCCGCCTGTGTCGAGGCTCTGACAAGCATTGCTCGGTGAGTGGTCTGCGTCTCATGAACCAAGGCATATTCCCCGCCATCTCCTTATGTTTCCTCGCAGTTAATGGTCTGGCTTTGCTTTTTTGAGTCAGTTTTAAGGTATGTGAGGTGCTGGGCTGTTGAGAGATTGCTTCAGTCGCTTGGGTCTGTGCCCTTATAGCCCACAGTTGTGCCCAGAAATGGTCAAAGGCTTTTGCTATGCAGTCCTCGTGGGGGGTCCCGCCTGTTGGGCTCCGTGAAGCCACCATCTTGGCTTATCGCTTGCGGTTCTGTTGTTAGGCCTCTGAGGTCGTTGTGTCTCGGACTGCGTCCCAGTTGGGACCGGGATGACCCCTGCCGGTCCAGGGGGGGGGTAGGAGTCCGATCAAGATGGTTGGTGGGTCTATGATCAAGGAGAGTGGCCGCTTCTCTCCAGTTCCAGCTCTGCTAGGCCACAGTGCATGATTATGGTTTCCCGGTCTCGACAGGCTCTTGCAAGGTGTCCG